TCGTAGTTCGCCTCTTCTATTTTTTTCTTTGTATTTGTACAAAAANAAAAAAAAAGATTCTGGTTCTGAATCAACTCAAAAATGCTCATATTTTGCCCCCAACAGTTGAGGAAATTCCTTTTCTTCCTAGTTGTTACAGTTTTTTCCATCTATCAATGCAGTGGTTCGATTAAAAGTTCAAAATTTATACTTTAAATTTTAACCCAGCCTTTTTTGTTGACTTCATGGCTCATATTGTAGCATTTGGGGCTATAATAAGATGCCTAGACCTGTTTTTATTTTTTATTTTTTTCGCCCTGTCGCTTCATATTTTTTCTGAAAAAATCCGAGAACCAACAAATTAAATTGGTGTGGCCTTGGTTTGTGATTTATAAAATAAATGTATTTCTTTCTTCTTCCCCCTTGTTTGCTTGTTTATGTTTCTCAGTACTGTAGGCCTTTGCTTGATTCAAACCCAGGGATGTCCTAAAGCATTTCATCTAGTATTGTGGGGTACATAAAGTAAGAGTTAAATATTGCTTGTCAGAGGTTTGCCAAGGTAGCTTTTATGTATGATTTATTTATGTATGATAAATCAAGAGTAGTGTAGGGATGTCCCATCTAATGCAAGGGCATCAGTACATCTGGCCTTCAATTTCAAGCTTGACCAAGTCTGTGGCATTACTACTTTCATTCTAGTCACTGAGTCTGTTGAATTCTTACAAATATAATTTAATAGTTGCTAACTACAATTATAACAGCTTTACCTCATTAATATTTATTTACCTATTTACCTATGTAGGTATATTATATGTATTGGTCTTTCCTCCTCTATAGTTACCAAGACATGATCTTACTAAATAATTTGTTTATTCTGTCTACTCCCCCTTAGTATTCAAGCTATGATCTATCCAAATTCAAGGTTGTGCAGGAATAGGACACTCAGTAGCCTGGTAATATTTCATAAGCACTTGCAGCGGGGGTCATAACAAGGCTCTGACATGTAGATCTGACAGTGCACATTCAGGCAGGCCGGGCATTGTTACTCAGTGACATTTCAAAACACCTGCGAAAGGTGTTCTCCCATTTCAGAGTGAGGGTGCAAGCACCAGCCCTAGACAATGGTCACCAC